AAGGGGGCCCTCCGCTCAGCAGGAGCAGCATATGAATAGGTCTTGACCCTACGGTGGTCAAGGATGTAGTCTGTGTGTGTGTGTGTGAACATAAGAACATAAGAATGGAGGAAACTGCAGCGGGACTATTGGCCCATACTGGGCAGTCCCATTTACACCCAACCCCGATTGCTCATATATCCATCCAACCTATGTTTGAAGCTATCCAGCGTATTCGAGTTAATGATGATGTTTGGAAACTTGTTCCGTTCATCCACTAATCTATTTTAAAACCAATGTTTACCTATTTCGCGCCGAAATCTAAATTTGTCTAATTTAAAACCATTGTTACGAGTTCGCTCCTGGTTGGATAGTTTGAGTACCTTTGTTATATCACCTTTGTTTAGCCCTGACTTCCATTTATAAACCTCTATCATATCGCCCCTCACTCTACGTCTCTCGAGGGAGTGCAGATTAAGATGCTTTAACCTGTCTCTGTACTCAAGGTTCCTAATGCCCGGGATTAGTCTTGTCATTCTCCTCTAAATTCTTTCCAAGGATTCTATATCCATTCTGTAATGTGTGTGTGTATACCTCGCCCTCCTCCTACTCCATGGTTACATTGACTTACACGGCCTCAACATGACTCCCAACAGCTGCCAGGATTTATTAATACCTTTTGGCACGTAACATCTCCTTGAGGCGGCGCTATGTTTAAAGGTCATTTCAGTTACTGTGTTTTATGATTCCTCCTTTTCTTCTTCTGTTCTTCTGTTCTTCTCTTCCTCCTCTTCTTCTTCATTCTTCTTCTCTTCTTCTTCCTCCCCCTCTTCTTTTCCTCCTCCTCCTCCTCTTCTTTTCCTCCTCGTCTTCTTCCTCCTTCTCTTCTTCCTCCCTCTCCTCTGCCTCCTCTTCCTCCTACTCCCGGGTTCTTTATGTTGTACCTGGGGTCGTTAATTAAGTGTCCAGGTACATAGTGTGTCAGCATATGGCTCCTCTACTACACTACTACCTGAAGCTGTTGAGAACATTTCGTCCTCCTTCCGTCTCTCCTCTCCTTCCCACCCTCCCTTCCTTCCCTCCTTCACTCCCCCCCCCCCTCTCCTCCGTTTTAATTGTCATGGAAAAAGTTGGTTTGCTCACTGATATTTTAATCTCACCTCTCTCTCTCTCTCTCTCTCTCTCTCTCTCTCTCTCTCTCTCTCTCTCTCTCTCTCTCTCTCTCTCTCTCTCTCTCTCTCTCTCTCTCTCTCTCTCTCTCTCTCTCTCTCTCTCTCTCTCTCTCTCTCTCCCCGGTTAGGTGGGGGTTTCACATTCTAAAGGACTCTCGATATAACGGACTTTGCTCCGTAAATAGTCCGCTAAATAAAGGAGTTTCACTAGCCAGTGAGAAATATCGTAAAGGTGACTTCAATTACTCGAGATGAAGCCATGGGTGAATGGAGTGTCTCCCCTGACCCTCAGCTCCGTCCTCACCCTGCTGTTACTCGTGAGTGTAGTGAGTGTCTCCCCTGACCCTCAACTCCGTCTCACCCTGCTGACCTGTTGAGTGGCCAGTGAGTGTCTCCCTGACCCTCGCTCCGTCCTCACCTGCTGTTACTCACTTAACACTCCAACAAGTTTTACAAACACTGGGTAACGTTTTAGGATATACATATATATATATATATATATATATATATATTAGCTTGGAGAGCGACCAGCCCTTCGTTAAGCGCAATGTATGCGAAGGATAGTGAAGGAATTCAGTGTGGTATGGACGCCCTAAGGCACGTTTTGTTCTTTGTCTGCCTGCCTGCCTGTCTGCCTGCCTGTCTGCCTGCCTGCCTGCCTGCCTGTCTGCCTGCCTGCCCTCTCACTCACACGTGACAGTTATGAGACCAACATGGACCCAATAATTCATGTCACATTCTTCTCTCAAAGGGTCAAAGGGTTAAATCATTTTCGTCAAAGGGTTAAATCATCATCGTAAAAGGGTTAAACCATCGTCCTCATAGGGTTAATTCATTGTCAACACAGAGTTAAACTATCATAGCCAAAGGGTGTTTAAACTGTACCCGGGTGATCATGTTGTACCCGGGGCATTTTATATACTGTACCCAAGGGCGCACCTGACCTTTGCCCCAGCCTCGGGTCACAAGCGGGGTATAGAGGTGTGATAAAACTGGTGGGATCTTCGTTGCTCCACTCCTCGTCTACACCAGCCGGTCGACGTACTACACCAGCCCGTCGACGTACTACACCAGCCGGTCGACGTACTACACCAGCTGGTCGACGTATTACACCAGCCGGTCGACGTGCTACACCAGCCGGTCGACGTACTACACCAGCCCGTCGACGTACTACACCAGCCGGTCGACGTACTACACCAGCTGGTCGACGTATTACACCAGCCGGTCGACGTGCTACACCAGCCAGTCGACGTACTACACCGCTTTACCAATAAATAAATCACCTTAAATTCGAGTGTGTGTGTGGGTGAATGTGGTGCATCCGCAGGCATGATTGATCAGCGGTTATGACTTCCAACTTGGACACGACTGTACCCTACTAATCTAATATTCTTTCGTGGTTTTCGAATAGGTGGACGAAGGGCACAATTATGATGTGGTATATCTCGACTTTAGCAAAGCCTTCGACAGAGTCCCCCACAAAAGACTAATTAGAAAGGTAGAAGCTCATGGCATCAAAGGTAACACCCTTAAATGGATTAGGGCGTGGTTACAAGACAGGAAACAGCGAGTGAACATTAACGGCACTAAATCCCATTGGAGCAAAGTCACTAGTGGAGTTCCCCAAGGCTCAGTACTTGGACCATTATGATTTATTATATACGTAAACGACATAGATATCGGCATAGACAACAACATAAGTAAATTTGCTGATGACACTAAAATAGGACGTATTATTACATTTGACGAGGACTCCGCAAAGGAAGATCTAAAAAAATTCACCGAATGGTCTGAAAATGGCGGATTATTCAACGTCGACAAATGTAAAGAGGTACTCAGTATAGGAGATGTAAACGAAACCGAATGCCAGATGATTTTAACGATGCCATAGAGAAATCCGACTGCGAGAGAGATTTAGGAGTAATGATAATTAGGAACCTTAAGCCAAGTAAACAATGTGTTTTTGCTCGTAACAAGGCTAATAAAGTACTTGGGTACATACAATGGAGTGTTAGTTACAAGACTAGCGAGGTCATCCTAAAACTGTATCTTGCTCTTGTGAGACCACACCTGGATTACACAGTTCAGTTCTGGTCACCGTATTACAGAATGGATATAGAATCCCAGAATGATTCAGAGGAGAATGACAAAGACTAATCGGGCATTGGAACCTTGGTAGAGACAGGTTAAAAGCATCTTAATTTGCACTCCCTTGAGAGACGTAGAGCGAGGGGCGACCACAGGAATTGTATAAGTGGAAGGCAGGGCTAAATACAAAGGGGACATTACAAGGTACTCAAGTGTAACCAGGGCGAACTCGTAACAATGATTTAAATTAGACAAATTTAGATTTAGGTAGTAAGAAATAGGTAAACACTGGTTTGGAAACAGAGTTGTGGATGAATGGAACAAGTTACCAAATATCATCATTAACTCGAATACGCTGAATTGCTTCAAACATAGGTTGAATGCTCATATGAGCAATAGGGGTTGGGTGTAAACGGGACTGCCCAGTATGGGCCAATAGGCCTGCTGCAGTTTCCTCCATTCTTATGTTCTTATTTTCTTATATGCGTGGGTGGTTGGATGTGGGTATATGCGTGGGTGGTTGGATGTGGGTATATGCGTGGGTGGCTCGCTGTGGGTATGTGTGTGGGTGGTTGGACGTGGATGGGTGTGTGTGGGATGCTGGATGTGGGTGTGTGTGTGTAGGGGTGGATGTGTGTGGGCGTGGGTGGATGTGGATGTATGTGTGTGTGTATATGTGCGTATGTTGGGGTGTGTATGTGTGTGTGTATATGTGTGTATGTGGGGTGTATGTGTGTGTGTGTGTGTGGATGTGTGTGTGTGTGTAGAGGTCAACTAGTTCTGCTTAGTTCACGTCCTGTATAGGTTGTGTCTAGAAGCAGAAGTCTTGTAGTAATAAAGTATAGTGTGTCAATTCCCTGGGAGCGGCGGGACTGTGAAGCACATCCTCGCTCGGTCGGGTCTCGAAAAACACACCCTCTCGCACCCGCAAACAGCTCCAAGTTCACCTTCAATGCAAAATTTTAACGATCATTTAAAACAAACCCGATAAATCCACTCGGAAACCCATAGTTAGTGAGTAATTAGCATTGAATTCTTCCAAGCTTCATCTCGACCACAAATTACCCCTCAATAACCTAACCTAACCTAACCTTTTAACGTACAGTTCATAAAAGCCAATGTGAAGTTAGGAGAGTTGTAGAGACGGTGAGGAGGGGTCGTGAAGGTGAGAGAGAACAAAGCGAGGTGCAGCCGTGCTTCTCCCCGCACCTCCCGGCTGTTGCTACCACACACTCAAACACACGTACTGATGTCTAAGTTTCTTATTTTTCATCTCTTGATCCGTGTTATTGACCGTGTTATTGTCCGCGTGTGTGTGTGTGTGTGTGTGTGTGTGTGTGCGCTTGTTGACACGGTTGAGAGAGAGAGAGAAAGAGGTTACATGCTTGTCACACACACACACACACACACTGTGCTCGATTGTGAGTGTGTCAGTTGACCAGAACATAATGGCTCTGCTGTAATGTGTGTGTCACTTTCTGGAGAGACATTAGAGACCTTGCTAGTGTTGTTATTTTGTTCTTACTATTTAACAAATAATTATACAGGTACAGATAAAAAAATACTGGTATTGTACATTGGTTTCAGAATGTTGTATGTTATAGTACAGTCTACGAGGTTGTTATACATATAATTTATATTACATAAACACAATACGTGATAAACATTCACTGTATAACATTACGGGATAAATCATTAACCCAGCTTGTCTCCTCTTCCTCCTCCTCGCCTGGCTGCTGTGTGTTGACGGGTACATAACAGACAAGGTGTGCAAGCGACCATGGACCTTTGAGCGAGTCCCTAACATGTTGATAAAGGATTTGGACGACGCACTGATCTTCACCTCTACGAAAGAAGCTTGTCTGGCGGCATGTCTAAATGAGGTGAGTTTTCATGTCTAAATGGGGTGAGATTCATGTCTAAATGGAGTGATGTGTGATGTCTCAGATTCATTTGAGTTTCAGGGATCATGGTAGCTGGTGTTAGATTTATTAAACCTCTTAAGAATATCTAAACACAGATCTCACAAGGCTTCTTTCCCTGTCTAAGTCTACCTGATTCATGCTAAATTAACCAGTCTACCGTATCTCTACAGCTACAGTCAACTACTAAAATCCATTCGCCTCTCCTCCTAAACCACTAACCCCCACGAGAGATTTACACTCATGAACCCGAAGCAGTAGACTGATACATTATTCTGTCTATAAATGCTTCGGATTCATGAGTTTGAATCTCTCGGCAATTCGTCGTTCAGTTGAAGAAGCAGAACGGACACAGCAGTTGACACTAACTCTCAAAGATCTAGTGTTGATAGAATTAAAACTATGGTCTCATCTGACCCTAATGGCGTCTTTCCCTACCCTCCTCACCTGCCTATTGACCCCAGTACCCTAATATCTTCATCATACTGATCCTTTCGCCCCACTCAACCAACACAGGATAAGTTCAAGTGCCGGAGTGTGGAGTACAACTACGTGAACCTGCAGTGTCACCTGAGTCAACACGACAGACGTTCAGCTGGGATCAACATTCAGTTAATACCAACCAATGGCGTGGACTACTTCGAGAACCTGTGCCTCTTGTGTGAGTACCCATAAAGGGACATCTTGTTTATATGGTATTCTACTTTAGAGACTCATACACTGAAACCTTCATATAACGGACTTTGTTTCTCTATAATCCGTTAAATGGGGAGTTTTCTCATCCAACCGACCCTAATATAACGGACTTTCACATCTGACAGACCCTTGATATACCGGACTTTCCTCTCATATAGTTGGTTAAATAGAGGTTTTACTGCATGTCCTTTATTGTGTGAGTTTTATATTGTTGAATGTCGATATTTTGTTCTCCTGTTTCCTTCACTTAATTTACTTTTCTGATCCTTGTTGCGTTGGTCATTGAATGTAATTTAAGGTCATTGGAGGTCATTTAAGGTCACTGGAGGTCATTGAAAGTCATTTAAGTCCACTGAAGGTCATTTAAGGTCATTTACGTGAAATAGTTTATACTGTTGAAGATTATTTTCCTCGTTCGTATTCTTATTTAACCTTCATTTAACCTTATTTATTTATAATCTATCATGAAGGATTATCAATCAGTCCCTTATTTAACTCACCAGCTTATTTAACCGTATTAAACTTCTCGACCAAATTTAACCTTATTTATCCATAATAATCCTGAAAAGTTTTGACTCAGTATTGCGTCTTTTATCTGGTATCAACAAGGGTGGCTGTGTTAATACTCTCTACTGGCATAAAACTGAAATAAAAATTGAGAGGTGAAAGAACTTTGTATGTAATTTCATTGACTATAAACAGTTTTATTGGTTTATTAATATTTTCCTTAAAACTTAATTAAAAACTAAAAATCTTGATGTGAATTTCTTCAATAATAGTTTACATGGTCAATTATGTTCAGAGAGAAACGGAATTATAATGCTCAAATTTCGACGTAATTGACCTAGTCTATTACAGTATAAGTGTGTGACAATTGCTTTTCTAAAGTCTGTATATATGAGAGTCAATTAATATATTATACAGCAGTGATATAGTGCGTTGATATAGTAACTTTTTTCACGAAAGTTTATTATGTAAAGTCATATTTAGGTGGATAGTTTGTGATTAAGATAGCGAGACTAGAGGGGGCCCAGAAAACGACCCCAGAGGATGATTTTAGAGAACGACCCCAGAGAACACCCCAGAGAATGACCTCAGAGTACGGCCCCCAGAGAACGACCCCAAGTGAACGACTCCTAGTGAACGACCCCTCTAGTTCTCTAATTCGATCTAATATTAATTTTTATTGTGAACTATGAATTACCTTTTTTTCTGCTCTGGGGTTTATTTTAGCGCTGTTGTCTGATATTGTTTTTCATTTTGTTCTTCCTTAATTGGTCTCTAGATGTATCCGCTGAGTCGACTATTGGAGACTAGGAGGTTCAAAGTGTCATTATTTTGGTCACAAACTACGGTACAGCCAGTTAATTAAAAGGGATCATTACATCGATCATGTCAGGTATTTATAAATCAAAAAAGGATACTAAGAACATTGTCTTCCTGCCACGTTCAACTCCCCTTAAAGAACAACATTAGTAACTCTTCCCCTCACGTCGACAAGCTTCCAAATGGTTGTTTTGTTTTGTTTTTCGGTGTTTCCAGTTGATAATTGTGTGCGTGAGGTGGCCGCCCAGGGGAGAGAGCTTGAAGGGCGAAGGGAAGTACTCGGGCGGAGGCGAAACAAAACCGTGATGCGCACCACCTCTTCCACCTCCGCCGCTCCAGTCACCTGTATAACGGGCCAACAGTAATGTAAACTGGATGTTGGCATAGAAAATGGAACGAGGGGTTGGCTACGGAACACGACACGCCCTGATGAGAGACTAGATTCCCTTAATTAGGTTAATGATAGTACTTCCAGAGTCACGGATGTTTGGTTCCATGTTCAATTCTAATTCTGAATGACGTATCTTTTGTGACTCCTCGCGTGGCACCAAGACCATGTTTGGTGTCTTGCTATAGCGGTAAGGTCTAGTGAACTCCTCCCTTCATATTAATGATAACGACCTGTAAGGAGAAGATCAGGGTTCTCCATAACGGATCATCTCCATGACGTATCCTTCTCCATAACGGATCCTCTTCATAACGGATCCTCTCCATAACGGATCCTCAACAAAATGGTCTCGTCTCTGGGTCAGAAAATTGTCACTCTCTTCAGAACATAACTTTCTCTTATTACAACTCATTCATATCAAGAAGAAGCTCGACTCTACCCCATATCTACCCCATTAATGGTTAACCTCACCCCATATTCCAATTATGGAGAAATTTATCACTTCAGAATACTATTATCTTCAAGACATCACCCAGCCTCTCCTCTTCCCACGTCCTTATGTAATTCTTATCATTTGATTTAGTGATTAATCCCCCTCTCAATCCCTTATACACGCATCAGTCTTTTCTGCCTTTATGTCATGTCCCTCTCTAATGAATGATTAATAGAGGTATATCAGTCAGAACCCATTCCTCGTGTCAGTGTATCTGTCAAAAGGTTACATCTCATTGGTCTATTCTCTGATTGTTTCTTCTGCAGCTGTGGATTCCTGTCACGACGAGAGAGACTATGAGGAGCCACAACTGGGAGTACCTAATGAGCGGATCTCACAGTACGTCGATATGCATTACTACGTGGACAAGGAACTGATGGTGAGTACTGTTGCTTCCTTTCCTTCCGCCCGTCCTCCTTTTTTTTCTTCCTTCCTTCCCTTCCACTCTTTTTTCTCCCCTTCTCCTCCCCTCCCTTCTCTCTCTCTCCCCTCCTCCCATACTTCTTCCCCTCTCTCTTCATTCTCACCTCCTTCCTATCTCCCTCCGTCCGTCTGCTCTCTCTCTCTCTCTCTCTCTACCTTTTAGTATAGGTTCCAATCCAAATCGTAAGGTCAGATAAGATTGGAACTATGTCAAGACTGGAGCCATGAGATTCACTATGATTGGAACCTTTTTAATACAGGTTCCAATCCCAATGGCAAGCTCACATAAGGTTTGAACCCATCATGTCTGCAGGGAGTCTATGAGATTCATTATGATTGGAACCTTTTTAATATAGGTTCCAATCCTTGTCATAAAGACAGATAAGATTGGAATCTATCAAGAGTGTGGAGTCCGTGTGGGCCAGTCAATACAGTTACCCACCTTCTCTATAACAACTCCTCGCTTCCAGGCTAATAGTGTGGCGGCCTGCAAGAGAGCCTGCGAGATCGAGAATGAGTTCCTGTGCCGGTCATTCCTGTACAAGGGCCCTCCTACAGGTAACTCCTACAACTGTCAGCTCTTCCACTGACCACTACACGCTCCCAGACGGCCCCTCCACCTTCCTCTCCACAGACAGGTGAGGGAGAGGAATATAGCGAAGAAAAATGAACACTCGATGAACTCCTATCTATTGTTGTGTGTTTATGTCGATTTTAGTAGTGTGATTGTTGTTCTGCCATGCTAGTGTCTGTGTTAGTTCCAGGTTGTAATGTCATTTGATTTTGTATGATTCTTCCTTCATCTATTATTCATTACACGTGTTCGTAATATATTATTGCAAATTTATTAAAGATATTTGTGTCATAATAAGTTAAAGACAAGTATGTATGAGGCTTGAGAGTAATGTTGAAAATAACTATCATTATTGTAAACTGTAAATAGGAAATCAAAGTATAATTATTAGTCTTGTCTGAGAAAAGTGATTGGTAATAGAATTTATTATCAATCTTCAATATGTTCAAGGACTTCGATCTGTTTAAGTGAATAATATAAAAGAAAGTTTAATACCTTCATGTTAGAAAATTTGTGATTATTTTGATTTTTTGGGAGAATAGAATTTATTTTTGAGGGTTGGTTATCCCGGAGGTCCTATGAACGCCTCCCTAATTTGATGTTGTCACCACAAGGCCTCTGCTTGATGATGGTCAGCGTACAGGCAGCTACTATGAGAACGTCTGCAAGGGTAAGTACAGTACAACATAACACCTACCATCTCCCTTCCTCCCTCCCTAAACTCCGCCACGACACATCACTCTGGGGAGGAGGAGGGACGCGGAAGATACGCTCAGACGTGCATGAGAGACGAGATCACTGCATGGAAAAATCACCCCAAAACCATTATTAATTATGCTTTGTAGTTATATTAGTATCACTGAATAATTATAGTTTAATATATATCAGATATGCTTTATAACATTGCTAGTAATGCTGTTTGTATATTATTGTTTTTGTTTTGCTTGTTATTGTAAATTGTACAAACGTATTTAGGCACTGTATACAACTTGGCTTATTTAACCATTGCACAAGCTGTAGTTTTAGCTAGACTCACGTAAGATGCTTTCCTATGTATCTAAATATTTAATTATAATGCTTACATTATTTAATTCCTGTATCTCATTAACATAATGCCTTATTTAACCATTAGCACAATACAATATAAATAATTACCTTTAAAGACAGATCAACCAAGTGGGTATGACCTCACTAACACACCTGCACATCCCACCTCCAGCAGTACACCTCACACACCTGACTGACACACCTGCAAATCAGCACACCTAACTCGGGGTCGTCAATCAATAGCACAATCACTGACCTGGTCACAACAACCACACAATTTATGTTAAGGATGATTGACATATGACAGATTGACACAGACGACACGCATCATCCTAGGACGACACGCATCATCTTGGGACGACACGCATCATCCTGGGACGACACGCATCATCCTGGGACAACACGCATCATCCTGGCACGACACACATCATCCTGGGACGACACACATCTTCCTAGGACGACACACATCATCCTGGCACGACATACATCATCCTGGGACGACACACATCATCCTAGGACGACACACATCATCCTGGGACGACACACATCTTCCTAGGACGACACACATCATCCTGGCACGACATACATCATCCTGGGACGACACACATCTTCCTAGGACGACTCACATCATCTTGGGACGACACACATCTTCCTAGGGACACACATCTTCCTAGGACGACACACATCATCCAAGGACGACACATCATCCTGGCACGACACATCATCCTAGGACGACACATCTTCCTGGCACGACACACATCAGCCTGGGACGACACACATCATCCTGGCACGACACACATCATCCTGGGACGACACATCTTCCTAGGACGACACACATCATCCTGGGACGACACACATCATCCTGGGACGACACATCTTCCTAGGACGACACACATCTTCCTGGCACGACACAAATCATCCTGGGACGACACACATCTTCCAGGACGACTCACATCATCTTGGGACGACACACATCTTCCTAGGACGACACACATCTTCCTAGGACGACACACATCATCCGAGGACGACACATCATCTTGGGACGACACACATCATCCTGGGACGACACACATCTTCCTAGGACGACTCACATCATCTTGGGACGACACACATCTTCCTAGACGACACACATCTTCCTGGCACGACAGAAACATCATCTGGGACGACACACATCTTCCTAGGACGACACATCTTCCTAGACGACTCACATCTGGGACGCACACATCTCCTAGGACGACACACATCTTCCTAGGACGACACACATCTTCCTAGGACGACTCACATCATCTTGGGACGACACACATCTTCCTAGGACGACACATCTTCCTAGGACGACACATCATCGGAACACATCTTCCTAGACGCACACATCTTCCTAGACGACACACATCTTCCTAGGACGACACACATCATCCTGGGACGACACACACATCTTCCTTGGAACACACATCTTCCTGGCACGACACACATCATCCTGGGACGACACACATCTTCCCAGGACGACTCACATCATCTTGGGACGACACACATCATCCTGGGACGACACACATCTTCCTAGGACGACTCACATCATCTTGGGACGACACACATCATCCTGGCACGACACACATCATCCTGGGACGACACACATCATCCTCGGACGACACACATCATCCTCGAGGACACACATCATCCTGGGACGACACACATCTTCCTAGGACGACACACATCTTCCTGGGACGACACACATCTTCCTAGACGACACACATCTTCCTAGGACGACACACATCTTCTAGGACGACACACATCATCCTGGGACGCACACATCTTCCTAGGACGACACATCTTCCTGGCACGACACACATCATCCTGGGACGACTCACATCATCTTGGGACGACACACATCATCCTGGGACGACACATCTTCCTAGGACGACTCACATCATCTTGGGACGACACACATCATCCTGGCACGACACATCATCCTGGGACGACACACATCATCCTCGGACGACACACATCATCCTGGGACGACACACATCTTCCTAGGACGACACACATCTTCCTGGGACGACACACATCTTCCTAGGACGACACACATCTTCCTGGCACGACACACATCATCCTGGGACGACACACATCTTCCTAGGACGACTCACATCATCTTGGGACGACACACATCTTCCTAGGACGACACACATCATCCTAGGACGACACACATCATCCTGGGACGACACACATCAGCCTGGGACGACACACATCTTCCTAGGACGACACACATCTTCCTGGGACGACACACATCTTCCTGGGACGACACACATCTTCCTGGCGACACACATCTTCCTGGCCGACACACATCATCCTGGGACGACACACATCTTCCTAGGACGACTCACATCATCTTGGGACGACACACATCTTCCTAGGACGACACACATCATCCTAGGACGACACACATCATCCTAGGACGACACACATCATCCTGGGACGACACACATCAGCCTGGGACGACACATCTTCCTAGGACGGACACACATCATCCTGGGACGACACACATCAGCCTGGGACGACACACATCATCCGAGGACGACACACATCATCCTGGGACGACACATCATCCTGGGACGACACACATCATCCTAGGAACACACATCATCCTGGGACGACACACATCATCCTGGGACGACACACATCATCCTGGGACGACACACATCATTCTGGGACGGCACATCATCCTGGGACGACTCACATCATCCTGTGACGACACACATCAGCCTGGGACGACACACATCATCCTGTGACGACACATCATCCTGGGACGACACACATCATCCTGGGACGACATCTTCCTGGGACGACTCACATCATCCTGTGACGACACACATCAGCCTGGGACGACACACATCATCCTGTGACGACACACATCATCCTGGGACGACACACATCATCCTGGGACGGCACACATCATCCTGGGACGACTCACATCATCCTGTGACGACACACATCAGCCTGGGACGACACACATCATCCTGTGACGACACACATCAGCCTGGGACGACACACATCAGCCTGGGACGACACACATCATCCTGTGACGACACACATCATCCTGGGACGACACATCACCCTGGGACGACACATCATCCTGGGACGACACACATCATCCTGGGACGACACACATCTTCCTAGCACGACACACATCATCCTGGGACGACACACATCATCCTGGGACGACACACATCTTCCTAGGACGACACATCTTCCTAGCACGACACACATCATCCTGGGACGACACGCATCATCCTGGGACGACACACATCATCCTGGGACGGCACACATCAGCCTGGGACGACACACATCATCCTGGGACGACACACATCATCCTGGGACGACACACATCATCCTGTGACGCACACACATCATCCTGGGACGACACATCACCCTGGGACGACACACATCATCCTGGGACGACACACATCATCCTGTGACGACACACATCATCCTGGGACGACACACATCACCCTGGGACGACACACATCATCCTGGGACGACACACATCATCCTGGGACGACACACATCATCCTGGGATGACACATCTTCCTAGCACGACACACATCATCCTGGGACGACACACATCATCCTGGGACGACACACATCTTCCTGGGACGACACATATCATCCTGGTACGACTCAAATCTTCTGTGGACGGCACACATCATCCTAGGATGACACACATCATCCTGGGACGACACACATCATCCTGGGACGACACACATCATCCTGGGATGACACACATCATCCTGGGACGACACACATCTTCCTAGCACGACACACATCATCCTGGGACGACACACATCATCCTGGGACGACACACATCTTCCTGGCACGACACACATCATTCTGGGCGACACACATCTTCCTGGGACGGCACACATCATCCTGGGACGACACACATCTTCCTAGCACGACTCACATCATCCTAGGATGACACACATCATCCTGGGACGACACACATCATCCTGGGACGACACACATCATCCTGGGATGACACACATCATCCTGGGACGACACACATCATCCTGGGACGACACACATCTTCTGTGGACGACACACATCATCCTGGGACGGCACACATCATCCTGGGACGACACACATCATCCTGGGGACACACATCATCCTGGGACGACACACATCATCCTGGGACAACACACATCTTCCTAGGACGACACACATCATCCTGGGACGGCCACACATCATCCTGGGACGACACACATCATCCTGGGACGACACACATCATCCTGGGACGACACACATCATCCTGGGACGACACACATCATCCTGGGCCGACACACATCATCCTGGGACGACACACATCATCCTGGGACAACACATCTTCTGGGACGACACACATCACCCTGGGACGACACATCATTCTGGGACGACCACATCACCCTGGGACGACACATCACCCTGGGACGACACATCACCCCTTGGACGACACACATCACCCTGGGACGACACACATCACCCTGGGACGACACACATCACCCTGGGACGACACATCACCTGGGACGACACACATCACCCTGGGACGACACATCACCCTGGGACGGCACACATCACCCTGGGACGGCACACATCATCCTGGGACGACACACATCATTCTGGGACGACACACATTACCCTGGGACGACACACATCACCCTGGGACGACACACATCACCCTGGGACGGCACACATCATCCTGGGACGGCACATCATCCTGGGACGACACACATCTTCCTAGCACGACTCACATCATCCTAGGATGACACACATCATCCTGGGACGACACACATCATCCTGGGACGGCACATCATCCTGGGACGGCACACATCATCCGGGACCACACATCATTCTGGGACGACACACATCACCCTGGGACGACACACATCACCCTGGGACGACACACATCACCCTGGGACGACACACATCACCCTGGGACGACACACATCACCCTGGGACGACACACATCACCCTGGGACGGCACACATCATCCTGGGACGACACACATCACCCTGGGACGACACACATCATCCTGGGACGACACACATCATCCTGGGACAACACACATCATCCTGGGACGACACATCTTCCTAGGACGACTCACATCATCCTGGGACGACACACATCATCCTGTGACGACACATCATCCTGGGACGACACATCATCCTGGGACGGCACACATCATCCTGGGACGACACACATCATCCTGGGACGACACACATCATCCTGGGACGACACACATCATCCTGGGACGACACACATCATCCTGGGACGACACACATCATCCTGGGACGACACACATCATCCTGGGACGACACATCATCCTGGGACGACACACATCATCCTGGGACGACACACATCATCCTGGGACGACACACATCATCCTGGGACGACACATCATCCTGGGACGACACATCATCCTGGGACGACACACATCATCCTGGGACGACACATCATCCTGGACACACACATCATCCTGGGACGCCACACATCATCCTGGGACGACACACATCATCCTGGGACGACACACATCATCCTGGGACGACACACATCATCCTGGGACGACACACATCATCCTGGGACGACACACATCATCCTGGGACGACACACATCTTCCTAGCACAACTCACATCATCCTGGGACGCACATCATCCTGGGACGCCACACATCATCCTGGGACGCCACATCTTCTTAGGACGACACACATCTTACTAGGACAACTCACATCATCCTGGCGACACACATCATCCTGGGACGACACACATCATCCTGGGACGGCACACATCATCCTAGGACGCCACACATCCTGGGATGCCACACATCATCCTAGGACGCCACACATCATCCTGCGACGACACACATCATCCTGGGATTGCACATCTTCCTGGGACGACACATCATCCTAGGACGACTCACATCATCCTGGGACGACACACATCATCCTGGGACGACACACATCATCCTAGAACGACACACATCATCCTGGGACGACACATCATACTGGGACGACACACATCATCCTGGGACGGCACACATCATCCAGGGACGACACACATCATCCTAGGACGACTCATCATACTGGGACGACACATATCATCCTAGGACGACACACATCATCCTAGGACGACACACGTCATACTGGGACGACACACATCATCCTGGGACGGCACACATCATCCAGGGACGATACACATCATCCTAGGACGACTCACATCATACTGGGACGACACACATCATCCTAGGACGACACACATCATCCTAGGACGACACACGTCATACTGGGACGACACACGTCATCCTGGGACGGCACACATCCTCTTCATAACATCTAGGACGGCAACAGTCACCCTCACATGACAGCCTCCACGGAGTACGCTGGTCAACCACACCCCATTAATCCTTGACCTTGACCTTCTTTTGTCACGACCCGTCAATAACTCTTCGTCTGCCTTCTTCCCTACATCTTACTCTGCCTTCTCTATAACATAAAGCAATGTTAAGACGTTTGGGCTACCGACGTTTGACTTGGTTCAGGGTGAATTAGAACCTAACCTAATCTAACCTAACCTCACCCCTAATCCAACATAATTTAACCTAACCTAATCGTACCGTAGCGCACCGTAACGTGGCCCAAACGTTCGCTCACCACAAAGCTCCCAGGACAGTGTACTGGGATCAGCTACATCACGCCCTGCACATCATTGCCTCCTCTTGTTGTGTAGTCGCCTACAAAAGTCCTGTCTCCACTCCTGCTGAACCACAAACTTCGAGATTCAGACTCGTGAACCCGAAGCATTTATAACCCTGAGAGCATTATTCTTCTGTCCATAAATGTTTCGGGTTCACGAGTCTGAATCATGAGTACGTGGTTCAGGAGCAGAGGTGACAGGACGTTAATGAGTGACTACTAACTAGACATCTCTTAACAAATATTACGCAATTTCGTCTGTGTAAAGGCCTGATACATTACCTAGTAAATGTGTTAGCTCTCATGAAACTGATCACCGACTCGGGAATAAATGAGACAGTTTCACATAGACGAATATGCTACTTGATCCTCTTTGACATGACAAATACAGTTTTTTTTAAGACTCGCCTCCACTGACGTTTCTTTCCTCTTGACCTCACGTGACGTTTACAGAAGCGAGGGACAATATGATCTGTAAGCAGGTGACCACGAGAGATAATCGCTACATCACACAGATCATGTGCTTTGACAAGGCTTCCATCTCCCGCCAAGTCAAGATTGAAGGCGTGGAGGAGCTCGGTAAGGCCATAGAAAGACTCCCTCTAATTGGTCAGTCAGAATCTTCATGACCAGCATCCATTGGTCGCCTGAAGATTTTTTTTTTTCGTGACTGAAACACCAATCGCTGTTTGGCCGTTGGGAGGGGCTTTCCATCCAGTATACGGAACATTGACGGTGATTGGTTGGTTATTTCGGTGTTTTTACTGTTCCGAACCAAATCTGCCCTAGTCCCTGGTGCAGTTAATGTCAAGGGCGCGCCTCTGAAACCCTGACATATCATCCTGACTGTGTTGATGGTACAGTACAGGAGAGTGCTTGAAGACTTCTTGGTGTTGTGCCTCTCCCTACTTGACGACTCTCTTATTAAAGATGAATGCTTCTTCTTCACAACTTTTATAAACAATATCTTGTGGTTTATGATGAACTGGAAGAGACTTATCAGACTAACAGACTAACCCGACGTTTAGAATAGTATTATGAGAAGATCATTGACCTTCAGTGATGAGAGAGACCTTGTATAGGGCTCTGAGTATAATCAGGTCAAGTCAAGTCTGGTCTCTTGGTCATTACATCTTTATTTCAATATATAATGGTCGCTTCACTATAGAAAATGATCTTCTCGCTATATAGTAATTTGCTTTACTAACACGCACCGATATAACACCTTGAGCATGTGCAGTGTGATATTTTTTACAACTTTCTGATTACTGATTCATATTTAATTTACCCTGGCAGCTCAAGAAGCAGCCTGGGGTATACTCGTATGTAACACTCTATGTATATAATATCAACACTAACATACATACAACAATCTTATAATTCACCCCCCATAAAATTATCAAATTACTTATTTTATCAATCAGACAGCCAGTTACCATAAATTTCTACCTTTTAAACAAATGCATGTTATAAGACTTGAGGTCAGCCAGATAGATATATTTTGACCTGGTATGTTGTGATCACTTACAGACAGGTGATTGAGGTGGTGGAGGTGGGGGTGGTGGTGGTGGTGGTGGAGAGCAGTGACCTCCTCCTCCTCCTCCTCTCCACCAGACAAGAACAGAAACACACCTCCCAGCTACAACGCTCAACACACAAACATGTTTAGAGAGCGTCCAGCTGGGCAAAGTAATGGGTCTTTGATCTTTTTTGACTGACAAACAAAACCAACACTCGGGAGAGAGGTGAAGGTTCTGTTCTTTATAGCGAAGACAACTTGTATAATGATAGTGCAGGTGATAATGAAAATGATGATGATAATGATGATGATAAAAAATAAAATAATATTAGTAATAATAATAATAATGATGATGATACCATGCACTTTGTATTAATTAATAAAAATAACTATAATCTTAGAATATATATTAAATTTCTCAAAACACGACTTGATCTTCATATAGAGAGGTTATATAGATAAACATAATATAGACTATTACTTTTATAGTTTTTTATTTATATAACAGACTTTTATCTTTATATAGTTCGTTAGATGGAGGTTTCACACCTAACTGACCCTCGATATAATGAGCTCCCTCTCCTAGTCCATTAAATAGATTTAACTATATACTAGATGTGTTTTTCATGTCTGCTACCCTGGATTTGGTGATATAGAGTGTTTGTGTTTTTGGGATCTGTGGAGAACCTCAGTCTATGGCACCACACTAGGTGGTTTAGGCAGTTCTACACTGAGCGGCAGCGGTGGTGTAAGTGGTGGCAGCGGTGGTGTAAGTGGTGTCAGCGGTGGGATCTCAAGTGGTTCCTCCTCCTCTTCTTCTTCTTCCTTTACGTCATCCTATGGCACTACCCTCTCTGGCGGGCAGGGCACCACTGGACAACCACTTGGGGAGAACGTCAACTGCGACCCCATAGGAGTCTGCTATGATGGTCAGTACCAGTCAGGTCCTTGTCACTGTAGATTTAGATTGATTTGCTTGTGAACAAAGACCTCATCTGTCACAAGAATGTTTTATTTTCCTTTTTCCAACATATGAATTCATGATGTCTATTTTTTTTCACTAACTAGAAAGAGATATTCAGTGTGATTGATTCATGGCGACAAGTAGATTTGATGGTTGGGAGGGAAAAACCAGGAAAGAGTTGGTTTCTTTTTTTCTCAAATGTTTCAGACTACACAGAACTCATCTGTGTAGCCACAAACATTAGAGAAATAAAGAAACTTCGCTCTTTCTTGATGTTTCCCCTCCACCATCGTATTCAGTGTTTTAAAAATATCGTTGATATTTTCCCTGATAAGAAAAAATATCCAGTCAGAGTAGAATAAGTATGCAGTTTCTTATTGGTGTATATACAAATTACTGAAGATAGTCAGATGATTAACATGAGTCCATTTGTGATTGTTTACAGTGTCAGTTCACTGTAAGGACACCAGGATCGTGGTGGAGGTTAAGACCAATAAACTCTTCAATGGACGGCTGTACTCAATGGGACGCTCCGAGACCTGCAATGTACAGGTCGTCAACTCCGACAAGTTCCGTCTCGACTTATCCATGGCCGGCCAGGATTGTAACACCCAGAGTGCTGTGAGTAATTAATGGGGGTTCTTCTGTTCTATCTGCCTATGCCTGACTTTATTCTCTCGTATCTACCGTGACTATCTCTCTCCCCTGTCATCTCACTCTAGTGTTATCTATGTGTGTGTGTTATTTATATGTTTGTGTTATTTATATGTTTGTGTTATTTATGTGTTTGTGTTATGTATGTGTTTCAGAATGGCGTCTACACCAACACGGTCGTCGTACAGCGTCACTCAGTTGTCATGACCAAAACCGATAAAATTTACAAGATCCGCTGCACGTACGACATGACCTCCAAGAACATTACCTTCGGCATGCTCCCCATCAGGTACGTCTTGGTCGGTCCTCAGGCTCTTACAACACTCTTGTCCCTTTCCCCCAGTATCTCCATCCTTGCTTCCTGCCTCGCTAGTTTAACCTAAGATGCAGTTTGTGTTGATATCGTGTCATTATCCTATTCGTTTAGATATATAAATGTGTTTTGTATGTAAGCTGCATCTATATAATGCTCAGTGTAGTTGTACTGTACAATCCTTACCCCCGCCATATTCCTGCTGCATAGTGCCTACAGAACCATGTTTCATCTGCAGGTTAAAAACAAAAGAAAATCAATGTTTTTCACAAAGTCGTATTGTTATTTTCCTGCTGCAGATATTGTTTAATGATTGTATACATTTTGCAGCAGTTCAAGCGAGCACGACCCCTTATCCAACACACTGATCATCCGGTAAGAGAACAGGTGTCGCTGCCTGACTGATGTTATGGGCAGCGGTAGATGGTTGCTGGCTGGCTGTCTGGCTTCTGGTGCCCCCCGAGTACATTGCCTGTAGATTTTGTTCTTCCCGGTCCTGTAGATACTGAATGACTCATGATAGTAGATTCTTGGATCTGTAGGCATTGACCCGTAGACAAGGACCCTATATACACTGTGACCTGTAGACCTGACCTTGTAGCTCTGAACCTATCGATACAGATCAGCACAGCAGACATGGACGGTTGACTCTTATCGTAGTAAAGCATATTAGCAAACTCACCGTCTAAACTCTTGATATTAATTTTTAAGAAGGTAATTTTTCCAGTAGTTAAAATTAAAAGGAATAAGTTACTGATTTATGCCAGAATCATTACCCCAAGAATACCAACGAGTTAAGACAAGCGTTGGTGTACAGAATGCACATGTTAAACTTTATAGAATGGTGATTCAACCCTCTGAGGATGATGATTTAATCCTTTGAAGATGATGATTTAATCCTTTGAAGATGATGATTTAACCCTTTGGGGATGATGATTTAACTATTAGAAGATGATGATTTATTCCTCGGAGTATGATGATTGAACCCTCCGAGGACGATGGTTTAACCCTCCGAGGACGATGGTTTAACCCTCCGAGGACGATGTCTTAACCCTTTTGAGGATGATGAATTAACCCTAACAGACTCAAGGGGTTAAAAAGAATCTTTCTCATAAGCACTGTTTATCAGATGTGCAAGAAATAGAATGACCCTTAACGCTGTGTAAGAGATTAAAATCTTCTCTGACAACTACTACACAAGCATCCCAGGTGGCGTATCTGTGTATGTCTGTAACAAAAAAAATCACTCTTATTTGATCAAACCTGGAGATAGGGTGACGTCCATCTCTTTGTTTAGCTTTAGGTGAGCTAATCAGAGGGGATCTCACTTCGTCATTCTGGTGAGCCAGTCAGAGGCGTTCTTACATCGTCTTCCTGGTGGATAACCACAAAAGGCTGCTGGTTCATTATAGTATTATATTAACATACAGTAACACACACTAACGCACACTAACACACTCACTCACTGGTGTCCGTCATTGAGGCCTTCTTACTCACTCTCAGGCTCACTCGTGATCCAACACCGTACGTTGCTGCACGTTTGTCTGTCTGTCTCTCTGTCTGACTGTGTCTCTGTCTATATGTTGTAAACCCCACCTACCACCTTCCATCACAGTTAGAAGCACTCCCAGCACTCCTCGGCAGCACCGTAACGTAGCTAGTGAGTGACCATGATGAAAGATGCTGTGAATCGTGTCGTGTGTGTGTGTGTGTCAATCCCTATAACAATCAATCATAATGTCAAAATTACTCAACAATTGAAATATGAAAAAAACAAAACAAATATTTTTAATTCGCTTGACAAGATGATAATAAAACACTTACTTGACACTAGACCAGGACATGAGACAGACATCCTTACAGTCTATAATATAAATTTTTTCTCTTATATTTATAAATCTTTAAGTATGACCTAAAACAGCACCTGATGTCTTCCTTCTTCTGTCCAGAGACCCAGCAATGATCCCCATCACTTCAGCTCCCGAGGCACCACCACCCAGGATCCGTATATTGGACACCAAACTGAGGGAGGTGGAGACTGTGAGGATTGGTGACAGATTAATCTTTAGGATCGAAATTCCAGATACAAGTAAGATACCGACCAACTTATGATTTATCCCTTTGACGATGATTTAAACCTTTGGCAATGATGAGACATCCCTTTGGCGATGATTTAACCCTTTGACGATAATGATTCAACCTAACCTAACCTAACATAATAACTCTCTCACACACACACACAGCCCCCTACGGTATCTTCGCTCGGAGCTGCGTCGCTATGGCCAAGGACTCACGATCCACATTTCAGATCATTGATGACGATGGGTGAGTTTCTTCCCTGTGCGTGTATCTCTCCCTCCCGCTCGTTCATCCTCCTTTTTCTAATCTTACAAAGTATATCTTATCTTTGTGCTCTATGATAAAGTACTCTCGTATTTCCTACACTTCTGCTGTTGTAATTTCATTGTTTAGTATTTTGTTATTGTGTGCTATGGTGTTTTTCTTGAGTCTTTTTTTTTCAGAACACACTATTACTTTTCATCTTCAACACACACGAGTAAATTTCATTCAATATCTTGCTTGATGATCCTATTCCAATTGTTTCCTCGAAGGCTGCTAATGCCATTATTCGTTCTCCTTCTTCTTCTTCTTCTTCTCTTCCTCCTCTCTGCTAGGTTCCCCTCCTATTTTTCTGCTGGACTCCCAATAACAGTGTTTCCTCCTGACGTGACCAGCCCTCCTCCTTCTCTTCCGTCAGATGCCCCGTGGAGCCGTCCATCTTCCCTCAGTTCACCAAGGATGGGTCGGCCCTCCAGTCTGTGTATGAGGCCTTCAGGTTTACGGAATCCTATGGCGTCATCTTCCAGTGTAACGTGAAGTACTGCCTTGGGCCCTGCGAGCCGGTGAGTCCCGCATGTAGGAGTTTGTGGTGGCGATGGTGTGTGTTGATGTTCTGTGCCTTATGCATGACTTTGAAGGTTTCACCGTCGTCATTTTCCTTCAATCTTCTTAATTGACCCCCCCACCCCACACACAGGCGAGATGTCAGGTAGGCCGTGAAAGCTTCCAATCCTGGGGCCGTAAACGTCGAGGTGTGAACAGCTTGCAGGGAGCGTGGGGCCGCACACGTCGTGGTGTGAACAGCGTGCAGGAAGCGTGGGGCCATGTCCAGGAAACAACCAAAGAGGAGGCGATGGCGTCATCTCATTCCTACTCGACTCCCTCAAGTGACGACGAGATGAGCGTCAGTCAAGAGATCCTGGTGCTGGACCTGGGCGATGACCAGAGACCCCAGTACCGCAACGAGCCCGCCCCTGAGGCCACCAGGTCCTACCACCGAAACCGTAAGTGTTATCTTCCTGGCTTGTCTTGTATACAGAAGACCCTCTCAATAACGGACTTCTCGGTAAAGTAATGGATACAGTAAACCCTCTCATTACTGGATATTCTCATTTCCTATTTAACGGACTATATAAAGAGAGTGAAGTCCGTTAAATCCGAGAGTCTGTTAGATGTGTTTGTATTTCATATATGTGAGTCTGTTATGTCTTAGATAAATTTGCGCTTATTTACTATTACTCATGGGTTGTGTGTATGTGTGTCTGTCTGAGTATGTGTTTCTGAGTATGTGTTTCTGAGTATGTCTGTATATGCGATGTATACATACTGTCATCCTTACCACCCACACCTTCTTCTTTCCTCCTACAGATACTTACACGTACGAAGGCGCTGATGTCACCTTATTCGAGACCTGCCCAACGAGGTCTTCTGTCCTCGCCCTGGCCGTCACCTGCGCCATCCTCTTACTCATCTACGTCCTCACCGTCTTCTACTTCGTCATGAGAAAGTGGTTCCGTCCCACAAAGAACGTGCGATAAGATGAAAAAAGTCACATATGGCTATCAGGGAGTTGGAGCACCACATTACATACATACATACATACATACATACATACATACATGAATACATACATACAGTGGTTTTCTCTCCGTGTAGGGACGATGGTGACAAACCAGGGATAAATAGTTTTGTTTTTCCTATTAGGAAACTTTTTTGTGATAAATTTTAGTGTTGGGGGATAAATTTAACTTATGACTTCACGATAAGCTTAAGTTGCTGTCATCATGGTTGTAATGGTGAGCTTAAGCTGCTGTCGTCATAGTTGTTGCGGTGAGCTTAAACTGTCATCGTGGTTGTGGTTTGTGAACTTAAGCTGCTGTCATCGTGTTTGTGGTGGTGAGCTTAAGCTTCTCCCTTTCAATTTCGTTTGGCGATATCTTAGATGATATGTGAAGATAAAATGAATGAAGTAAAGTTACCATGAAGCAAGGTTACCATGAAGCAAGGTTACCATGAAGCAAGGTTACCATGAAGCCAGAATGTAATGTTTACCCAAGATTTATTTATTTTTTCATTCTGGTTTTTTTTATTTGTCTTTATATGTGAAATTTAGTTCTGAATTTTCCCTTCATTTTAGTGGTCGAATAATTACAAAGTACCTGTCATATCCGACCTGGTTTGAGATATTAATGTACTTACAGTGAAAGCCTCCATATAATGGACTTCTCTCTCCATACAATTCGTTAGATAATGGATTTCATATCAGACCCTCCATATAACGGTCTTTATATAGTCCGTAAAACAGTGGTTTCACCTCTAACACACCCTCAATATCACGGACATTCCTCTCCATATGGTCCGTTAATCAGAGGTTTCACATAAAACAGATCCTCAATATAACGGACTTTCATCTCCATATAGTCCGTTAAATGGAGGTTTCACTGTAATTTCTTTTTCCTGAGGGGCGGTTCTGTGTTCTAGACTAGGCCACAGATGTGAGGCCTCCCGGGTGTATTAAGGAGAGTGAAGCAAGCATCTCCGCAGTGTATTTTTTGGAGGCATTAAAACCAGTTATTTCCTGGGCATTGAATAATTTGGCTCAAACTCTCGCCGTATTGATTGACTGTGAATATTCCCATGGGCATTGGAGACTAAATATTGTTTTGTGCTATAACTTTAGAATAGGAAGATAAGGAATGTTGTGTTAATGAGTCAGATTGTATTATTACGCTATACAGGCGCTTGAACACAGCTCCAGTATGTAGACAAAGTTCTTAGAAACCCACCTGATGATTCCTGCATACACACACACACACACACACACACACACACAAGCATCACCGCGGACAGGAGGCGTAAACAGCCCATGTAGAAGTTTTTATTTTTTAGTGTAGCCATAAAACCTAGTTGATTTTAAGGTGTGCCTGACTTCTTCCTGCCCCCACCAGCCAGCCAACCAGCCCCTTCTACCGTGCTGTGATTGTCATTCTTTTCCCACACCCTTGCCTGCCGCCACCCATACACATCCGCACACTCACCCACCCATTCACTCACACACCCACCCACACTCACACCCACACACCCTCCCACCCACTGAGTCTTCCCATAGATTCTTGTGATCCACATTATTTATATTTGATAAAACACACACACACACACACACACACACACACACACACACAGAGTCTTGTGGTTATAATTATGGATATATTTTTAACGTTATCATGTGAGGAAAATGTACAGTCTAAATCATAAGGATATGAAGGTGTGGTTGGCATTCTCTCTCTCTTTCTCTGTCTCTGTCTCTCTCTCTCTCTGCTTCTTAGAATGTTAGTGGTATATCATAAACCTTTGTCCCATTGTTAGTTTGTTAGTAAGGCCTTTGTATACCTACCACGGGTGTAGAATAACACCTGACAAGGAATCATGAACTTATTTACACCCGGTAAGATCCAGACCAGGTGTGTGTATCGTAACCCTGAGTCATCCACAACACAACTAGGTCTCATCGTCTACACCAGAATGTTTTGACCAATGTTTGCTTGTGCTTATGTGGTTCAGACGTCACTGTGTCAGGTCTTACTTACGTATCTCTCAAGGTGTGATTATTATAAGGAGTATTTCTCTTTTAGGTGGGGAATTTTTACCTGTAGGTCAAATGAGCCAATGATGTGGACAAAATTGTGGGGCGTTGAGTGTGCGATGTTGCCCGAAACGGAGGTTGGGGGGTGGAAATGCACGACCCTCTCTCTCTCTCTCTCTCTTGAAATAATAACACATCTACAAATATAAACACTTTCTCTTCATAAGTGTGTCGCTCATTGTCTTCAAGTTTTATTGTTCGACAGTCACACAATTCGTCTTAAGTCAATAATAATGATAATAATAAAACGATACAATTTTTCCCCCGGGGTGACGCGACTCCATTACCTCCAACCTTCTTCTCGAGTTAAAGGTGATTTGTTTAAAGTCTTCATTTGTAGAGCTTGTTAGATCCCATGTCATAGGAAAGCTAGAGTTTTTGTTGTTGTAAATAAGTCGTTATTTATTATTAAATGTATGTTGTGTGTGTAGTGTGGAGAAGTACAGTTTGTTATAGCCAATAAATGTTTCCTATTGTTTACCATTAGTTTCTGTGATAACCTACATCTTAATCCACAGAAAACGGATCTTGCGTAATGGATAACTAAAGTAATATAAAAAGAGGCCAATTGTCTAGAAGTACCTCAATAGATTTAGCTAGAGACCTGAAATCTTACATATACACTAAAGGAACCCTGAAACTAACCTAGGTGTTACTTTTTATAATTAACTAAAAATATCCCCTCTTTCTACATACAGTACAGTAGAAAACACACTTCCCTTGCCGTCATATCTCGTTAAGTTAGTTTGATCAGACAACTAAGGCGCTCTAATTTAAGTTTTTTAATCCCTATAAATCTTCAACTTGTAATGACTTTTAGTATGATCAAATGTTCAGAGTTTCAGACTATAACACGTAAATAAAACAGAGTAACGAAACAAAGTGTAACACACAGTCTATTAGTAAAGAGATGTGCATATAACACTGGTTAAAAATATACGAAGAAGTCACTGTAAAAATTTATTTCCACAGTTTACCCGGTGTAGAAGTTAAGAGTGAAGCCTGGGTAAAAATGAAGTGTTTGCCCAACATATCGTACGGCACTCCCGGCAGAACGCTCTGAGATTCCGTGGTGAGCAGAGCTGGTAAGTGGCTACTGATAGTAGCATTATACTGTATTCGACTTCCATGCATTTGAATGTATAATAATTCAATTAATTAATTGAGTTGTTGGGGGTGAAATGCAGTGAAGCCAGAAATATTGTAAAATACAGATAATAAAGGGAAATGAATAAATACCAGTCCAGTGTATAAGTGGTATAATAGGCTAGTAAACTCTGATAATACAATTAATTAATTTAGTTTTTAAAATTTAATTTACTGGTAAACATAAAAGTCCTTCAGTTTTTTTAAGTTAAATAGTAAATTCGATGGTGTGCAGAATGAACTTGGTAGAAGTGCGGTTATATAGTGAGGAATTCTCTTATTTCTCTTGTAGACAATGTAAATTTCTTGAACGATCATTTGTATGATAAAGCGGTATGGTGCGAGATCATTATGAAAAGGAAAACTAGCTAATTGTTGTTGTGTATAGGGCTCCTTTTACAAGTCGTGAGAAGAATCTTGTATTGAATTACCTAACCAAATTGTTTCTTTTCCTCGTGGATGCAATGTTAAATCTCCTTATTTTGCTCTACTAAGATACTATTCCTGTTGTAAATATGTCTTCTCGTGGATGTTTGAACAATCCAAAAGTATTCTGCTACATATGTGGGTGCTTTGTTGTGCATAAGCAACGACAAGAAATAATCGCATTCGTGAAAAATGTATATTTTGCCAACTTTGGAGTGAAAATAGGTGATTTAGAGAAACCATGGGCACCACATAAGGTATGTCGCACTTGTGTTGAAGGTTTAAGACTGGAAATATGGTAAGAAAAAAGTTATGCCATTTGGAGTCCCTATGGTATGGCGGGAGCCTAAAAATCATGGCGATGACTTATTTTGCTCTGTGAAGATAGAGGGATATAATGCAAAAAATAAACAAGGAATCATTTATCCCAAGATTCCATCTGACATAAGACCAGTGCCACATGGTCCTGAGGTTCCAGTTCCCATTCCGCCAGATGTGTTGCAGTCCGTGTCATCAGAATCTGACCGTGATTCATCGCCAGGTAACGGAAGTGATGTTTATCAACCTGGAGATATTAGTGATATACCGGAGGTGTTTACCCAGAGTGAACTTGTCGATCTGGTTAGGGAATGGAATTTACCGAAGGAGTCTGCTGAACTTTTAGGATCTAGGTTGAAACCAAAGAAGTTATTGAGCAAAGGGACATATTTTTATGGTATAGGCAACGTGAACAAGAACTAGTTCAATATTTTAAGAGGAAGGCTCCTTGGTTTATTGTAATAATGTGTCTGTTTTAATTAGCCATTTTTGCATTACCTATGCAGCTACTGAATGGAGGTTGTTCATTGATTTTTCAAAATCAAGTTTCAAAGGAGTTTTACTTCATAATGGAAATGTATTTTCATCAATTCCTGTGGCTCACTCTGTTCATCATAAGGAAACGTATGAAAATTTGTAGATACTTCTAGAGGAAGTTTATTATAAAGATCATGGTTGGTTGGTTTGTGGAGAATTCAAAGTCATTGCTTTGTTGTCTGGTCAACAGAGTGGATACACGAAAATGCTATGTTTTTTGTGTGAGTGGGACAGCAGAGCAAGACGTGAACACTGGGACAAAAAACACTGGCCACCTCGTCAGGCTCTTGCGCCAGGTTCAAAAACTATTCTACATGAACTATTGATTGACCCTAAAAAAGTGCTGTTGCCTCCTCTGTGTATTAAATTAGGGTTAATGAAACAATTTGTAAAAGCCCTAGATAAGGAAAGTGATTGTTTCAGGTACATCTGCAAGGAATTTCCATCAGTCACATATGAAAAAATCAAAGCTGGCATTTTCGTGGGCCCTCAAATCCGAAAGTCAATACATTGGATCACCAATTTGAAGAATCGATGAACCAGTGTGAAAAAGAAGCATGGAATAGTTTCAAAAATGTTGTGTATGCTTTTTCAGGCAATAGAAAAGATCTAAACTATCAAAACATTGTTGAAGGTATGTTGAATAACTTTAAAAACATGGGTTGCAATATGAGTGTAAAAGTGCATTTCTTACATTCCCATCTTGAGTATTTTCCTGAAAATTTAGGTAGTTTAAGTGAAGAACAAGGTGACAGATTTCACCAGTACATTAAGGAAATGGAAAAGGGGTATCAAGGAAGGTGGAATGTGAACATGATGGCAGACTACTGCTGGATGCTGAAGAGAGATTGCGCCGGTGAAAAGAATGCCAGAAAATCAAGAAAAAAAGTGTCACTCATCCGAGAAGCCTAATAATATGTTCATACATATTCATATACTGTATATTATTTATTTCTGTATTTGCAGGCAAATAGCCTTAATCACAATAATATTTAGGTTTAGTTAACTTTGAAGGCTACTAAATTGTCTTATTTGTATTATCTTGTCATATTTGTATATTGTATTTGTATATGTATAAGTTATATTATCTTGTCTTATTGGTAATAAAGTGTGACGTGCTAGAGCAAAACAAAGTTGTTGTTTTTTAATCCTTGATAAAAAACAGAATCCCGTCTCAGTTTTAAAACATTCAACTTTTCTTAAAATGCAGAGCGGTGGAAAATAAATCATACACTTGGCCTATACATCATAAATAAGCACACCCACACCTTCATTCCAGCCTGGTATATATGGGGTTAAAAATGCTCAGAATAGGGAGATCTAAATGTTTCACTTGAGTCCCTAGGGGTTGTTTACCAATGATAACCTCTCAGACGAAGACTTAAAACTACGTAAAATCAATTAAATTCAATTGTGTTGCAATTTTCCATTTCCGCCTGTTATAATTATATGGGGTTCAAAATTGCTCAGAATAGGTGCCGGGGTCACAGTTTAAGGATGAGAAGCCAAACTTTTCCGGAGTGAGACTTGTGAACTCTTGGAACAATCTGCCAGAGAGAGTTGTGACGGCACCGAGTGTAATTTCTTTCAAGACCAGACTTGACCAACACTAGGGCAGGTTCAGATACATTCAGGAGCCAGTGCATGCCTAGTACTTGCCAACAGTGCAAAACAGAGACGTGACCGACCGCCCAAGCGGCTAAATAGCCGATCAATGGCGAAGAGGATAAAAGTAAAAAAGTTAAAGTATGACATAACAATATGTTGTCATGGCGTGGCGGATATTAGTAAAGTCCCCAACATGCATGCGAAAATCCGTGTTCTGTAGTAACAGAGTTTGTAGAAGAAAATGAACAATATCCCTAAGATACCATCATTAGATATACACTACTGGGCGAGGGGTGGTCTCGGTCTTGGCTGGGTAGACAATCCTGGGTGTTTTGTGGTTGAGGATGAAGTGTCTAGCCTAGCTTGTGTTCTTAGGCAGCCTAAACATGATGGCAAAGGACTTGATGCAGGCTGCGGCGAAGACTTCCAGAAGGTGCACTAGAGTGAGGCAGGAAGCGCCGAGGGTAAGTCCTAACACGCCCCCGAGGTCCGCCAGAAGAGCATCTATAGGGTACGCCCACACCACCCGGCTGATCTGCTTCTCCAAGTCCAGGAATATCTTTACTCTGTACAGAACAGGGGGACTGTCAGCGTGTGTACAGATAAGCTCGGGTTTTTTATGCACATATCTTCATGACAGACTAAACAGCAGCGATGTGAGAGACTGCATTCAACCAACTTAGGAATATAGAAAAAAAATTGTAATGTATTAGCTATAGGAGTATCATGAAGTAAAGAGAGAAACGGATACTATTGAACGAAAGTGCTTGATAGTGTACCATTGATAACAGAAAAGATAGCCCCAGCTGTCAATAATAACAGATAGGTAGCCCCAGCTATCATTAATAACATAGATAGCACCCAGCTGTGATTAATAACAGATAGATAAACCCCAGCTCTCATTAATAACAGATAGGTAGCCCTCAACCTCTCATGTCCTGTATAATAATGACCCAAACTTTTGACACTCGCGAGAAACACGTCTTAAGTAAACAAGTTATTCAGTATAGTGTTTATCCCGCGACGTGACCTCCACTATAGCAAGATACACTTGGTAGAGAGGGGGGGGGGGAGACTTACTCTGCGTAGATATGTTCCTGATCGTGCAGTGTGATAGGTACACGGTCCAGAAGCTTGAGGCGGTAGAGATCCTCCACACACGCTGTCTCACACCTGCACACCACCAAAATCTCATGAATTGGACACGAGAGGACAGTTAAGCACAGAGTTATAAAATGGTGAGCAATAATACAGAGAAAGGAGGAAAGCGGAGGAAAGAAGGATATACAGATACTAACACAAAAAAAGGCTAAAATCAGTTTAATATTCCTTTTGGCATTAAGGAGAGTTGTGGTTTTAATTTTAAAAACAATCTTACAAACAGGTTTCATATTCACAGAGCATGTAAGCCATTTATACTAGTACTGTACTTTAAGAAAGAGCCT